GTAAATAAAGCATTCATGAGTAAAAGGCTAGGAGGCTTACTGCAGCCCTCTGGTACGAGTCATTCAGCTCTCTTTTATGGGGTATTTGATGGATTAAATATAACCATTATCTTGCATGTCATCTCAGGCTACTAAAAGCACATTTCAGAGGGAGGTTGGTGATTTCGGTAAGATTGCTTGGTTACCTTATTCACAAAAAACACCTCTAACTACCAGACTCTCTCTTGTCTCCAACTGGATAACATGACACTCAGATCTGTCTTTATGTACGGGAATATTGTTGCTGTTGATGCCGAGTGTTTTTCCTTTCAATCTTTCCGAAATTCTATTCACTGTTAGCTGAGAACATTTCTTAAACAGAAACTAATTTATGGTGTATTCTCGACTCTTTATTCTTATATTGTTCTTTGACTGCGCTAAATTCTGGTGTATAGCACGACCAAGAGCGGCTCTTCCTTAGAGAAGTACCTGGGTTCGTGGTATATTTTTACCTGATATTCGCTCCTGTTCTTTCATATGATGTTGTGAGGGACAAGGCTAACCTGAAAGCGTCTTTCCTCTGAGAAATAGTGTCTCTGTTCATAACTAAACCTGTTTATAAACACTTTTATGTTGACGTGCTTCTCTTCAATGGTGGAGAGAAGTGGATGAAATACCGACACGATGGACAAAGACACAAATGCAGCATAATGCGAATTTTTATTTACACCGTTTTCCTCACGTCATAAGCAGATCTATTTGTGATAAAGCCCACTGTGTGGGCGAAACGTTGTCAATAAAGTATTGCATTATACTTCATTTGATTTGATGTTGAGTTCAGCTCGTTGTCAGTCCGTCGGTTGTGAAAAGTGTTCCCATGCACTAGAAAAGCAATGTTTGCATTGCTGACCAGTCTTAATTATATCAACACATGCAACAACATGAAAACTGTGTTTAGACATTGCCTCTCAGTTCGCATGCATCCCTATGGACAGACTGTCTAGTTTCTCCAAACCTTAATATCACCCTACTCGAACCTTATTCTTGCGCTTCAGGACTTCATTCAACTAGTGAAGAATTATGTAATCTTCAATTTCTTCTTTTTTAAATCTGCATTCTGCCAACAAACACATTTAGAGAGAAACTACAAACTGGGAAACTTGTCAGCCGATTAGGAAACTTTACGACGGTAATAGGACCAACCTTAGATCTGCCTCAGCACTAAATGGAATCATGTGAGGAACATCTGCTTAGATGGAATAGGACAGCAGTGAAAATAATTAGGAAGAAGGGAGGGATTCCTGTTATACGTGGCATTCTGCCAAACAGGAATGTTGGAAATATGTGGCTGTACAGGGGAACTGGTTATAATTACTGGCTAACTAGATGATCACTAAGGTTATCTCAAAGCTATTTATTGATAATTGCCACTGTTTTTAAGTCAGGAATAACATATATGTAAGTGATAGAGTACATTTATCGAGGCAGGTGTAGCAGGAAAAAGATGGGGTAGCTAGGAAAAGATGAACATGAAGAAGATGCATAAGAAAGAGTTCCTTATCCTTTATTATAGAAATAATCGTATTGCTTGAAATATGATGAACGAGAGGAGATTTGTGGCATATTCAAGTTTATATTTTACTAAAACCGAGACATGATTTAATTTAAAGTCTGAACTTGCCGAATACTACATTCAGGGGTTTAAGTTGTTCCATATAAATATTTGTTTCTTTACCTCTTCTAACATAAACATATTGATCCGTAACTTGACTTTTCATGCGTTTGTAAATTTCTTCTTTTTATCTGCCAAGAAATGTTTTAGTCTGCTATTTATCCGTTTACTTAATCTAATTTCTCTCTAGGGCATATATGAACATATTGAACATTGTTTAGCAAAATCTCATATACGCTCTTCCCTTCATTAGTATTTGTTGACAGAATCACAAGCCACATATACCAATCAAAGAAAGACAGGAATTCTGTAAGACATTTATAATCTGAAGAACAAAAATCTGGGACATTTACTACATTATCTTCATTATCAAAGTCACAGCTGATATTTAATGAAACAGATTTTTATCACATGTGCTAAGATCTTTCGTGATCTCTTGATTATTTTCTAGAATCTTTTTGTTTGCCAAAATCAAGGAAAGCAGATTATTCCTTTCGGCTGATTTTGTTAGTTACTACTTCAAAAAACAATCCTGAATTATTTCTAGAAAGATGGTTGGACTTTAAATTCACAGCCAATTTTTATCCCAAATTTTTATCACTTTATCACTTGCCGCGAGTTCGAACCCCACTCGTACGGTGGTTTCTCCAATATGCGACGAGTCCTGCTCCATCTCATGAGGTGTCCATGATGAATTTGAACCTATCAACCTCGCTGACTTCTTCATCACTTTGTCGTTGTGCATCATTATAGTAAGACCGAAGTATGTGTTTGATGTTTTCTCTCTAAACATCAGTTTGTCGTTTTTACTATTTTCCTCTATGATATAAATGGAGTTTTCGTATTCTTCCTTTAGTTTGTATTTTAGATAATATTGGTCACAAGGAAATGAATCTTCACAGAAACTCATGTATGGAATCAGTCAACTGTTCTCCCTCATTATTCATCTCTAGAAATACTTGTATCCCTTCCTTCATTAAGATTTACGTAGGCGCTCTTTTTCGTCGCACTTCCAGTCTGTGGGATGTTGATAAGTGTTCCACTCTGTCTCTCACAAGTCGCGTTAATGTAATCATAACGCAGAGAACTCTTTCTCCTTGATGTCGCCATAACAAAATAATTTTCCTCGAATTAATCCTAACAGAAAAGTGATTTCATCATCTGACAGTCGCAACAGTGAGGTCTCTCTCTCTCTCTCTATCTCTCTCTCTCTCTCTCTCTCTCTCTCTCTCCTCTCTCTCTCTCTCTCTCTCTCTCATCTCTCTCTCTCTCTCTCTCCCTCTCTCTCTCTCTCTCTCTCTCTCTCTCTCTCTCTCTCACTCATCTCTCTCTCTCTCTCTCTCTCTCTCTCTTCTCTCTCTCTCCCTCTCTCTCCTCTCTCTCTTTTCTCTTTCTCTCTCTGATTCACTTCTTCTTTCCTCTCTAGCTTTCCTCAACCTTCTCCATCTCACTTGTCTCCTCTTCCTTATCTCCATCTGTTCATTTTAGAACGCATGGCTGCACATATGAATTTGTATACAGGAATGCGCATTTGCATTTAGACGTAAATAAATGTCTCTGCGTTTGCGTAAATATACACGCACCTTTTTTGAGCATAATTACGTCTGTGCATGAAATACAGACATACTGTGTATAAATATATTTAATACACCAGCTATTTCCTGCCGAGGCAGGGTGACCCCCATAGAGAAGAAACATTTTCGCCGTCACTCCCTTCATCACCGTCTTGCCAGAAGGGGGCTGATGCTATAGTTCAAAACAGCAAACATCCCCACACATCTTCCAGAGTTCTCGCACCGGTCTTCCCACCTCCAGGACTCAAGTCCGGCTAACCAGTTTTCTTGAATCCATTCTTAAAAATTACTTTACTAGCACTCCAACAGTAGGTCAGGTCATAAAAAACACTTGCCTCTACGCACTCTTGCTGAATGAGACCCTCGCACTCATAACCCCCTTTACCCCACCCTCCAACCTTTTCTAGGACGACCCCTACCCGCCTTTCCTCCCCTACAGATTTATACGCTCTCCAAGTTATCCTATTTTGTTTCATCCTAAACAATCCTTCTTCAGCCCACACTTCTTTCTAAACCGCAAGCTACGACTTCTCTGTATAATACTCACACCAAACATAGACCTCCAACTTCCTCCTTGCTGAAGCATTCACAACTCATGCTTTACACCCATTATGGTCATATACATTTCCTTTTTGCCTCCATGGACAACGTTCTTTGTTTCCACAGGTGCCTTAATGCACCGCCCACCTTTTTCCCGTCGTCAATTCAGTGGTTCACCTCGTCGTTCTTAGTCCTCTACTAAATATCTGAACACATTTACATCCTCTATATTCCCTCCCTCCCTCTAATCTGATATCCAATCTTTCATTGCCTAACTTTTTGTTATCCTAATCACTTTGCCCTTTCCAATGTTTACTTTTTAATTTTCTTCTTTTACATACCCTCCCAAATTCGTCCACCAACCTTTGCAACTTCTCTTCAGAATCTACCGAGAGCACAGTGTCATCGGCAAAAGTAACCGTGACAACTCCCACTTTGTTTTTGATTCTATATCTTCCAATTCCACACCTCTCTCCACCTACCCTACATTCACCTCTCTTAGAACCCCCTTCTATAAATATATTAAACAACTATGGGGACATCACGTATCCCTGTCAAAGGCCTACTTTTACTGAGAAAAAAATCTTCCTCTCTTCTAAATACCCTAACCCGTGCCTCACTATCCTCGTAAAAACTCTTAACTGCTTTCAGTAACCTAACACCTATTCCTTATATTTCCAATATCTGACACATTGCTCTCTTATCATACGCCTTTTCCAAATCCATAAATGCAGCAAAGACTTTTTTACCCTTATCTAAATACTGTTCACTTATTTGCTTCAATATAAACACTTTATCTACACATCCTCTGCCCTTCCTAAAGCCTCCTGGTTCATCTGCGACTCATCACGAACTCCAAGGCTGAGGGACCGATTACCTCGTCTTTTGTATACAGTTTTACAATCTTTCCGTTATGTCCTTGAATATACATTGATAAATCCACTGACTGGCGAAACGTCTATAAATAAAGATATCCAGATGTTGCGTTTGTATCTAATTCTTCATCATTTCTTATCTGTGTATTGAACCTACACAGATTTAATAAAAATTAAGTAGCAGTTTTTTTATGATAACAACATTATTCTTTAAATTTTATTACTTATTTAATTTAGAAAATGTTTAGTGTGCTGCAGCCCTGAGGGATATTCTGATAATCCAATACTGTTTCTAATGTATTACTGTGTTACTTGCTAATTTTGGGAAAGATTTGTTGTTATTTCATTGATATTCAACAGCTGGAGATGGACTGGGAGGACGAAGCCTTCCTTGAAGACGAGTTTACTGATATTCTTGAAGAAGACGACGAGGACACTGAGGTGGCGCAGTTTGCAAGTCCCACCAGTAACTTTACACATGAGGTCAGTCTTGTATCTGTTGTTAGGTGTACAAGCATAGCCATGCTCGTGGTGTCAGGTCTTCAGTATTTAGTGGGCGAGTGAGTGAAGCGCTTTATACCTTATTTATTATTATTATTAAAATTCGCCGGTATTCTCCCGGCCCGGACCTTTTCCAAGTGGTGGCCCGGCCTTGGCTCCCTGTCTTGGGAGTGTCTGAGACTTAAGTCTTCCATGGGAGGAGGACCAACTGTCCCCAGGCCTAGCCACAAGCTAGGTCTCTCTGGTCAGCCATCCCCGCCCCAAGGGGGCTAATGGGAATGACAGTCTTGTGAGCTGCAAGCTCAGGCTCAGGCACCTACCCTACCCTAGAAGGGCTGGGCATGGTGTCGATGTTTATACCTTAGGTTAGATTCAACTATACTCTTATCTATTATTCCTTCTGGTTAAGAATGAAGAAATAAATAATAATAATAATAATAATAATAATAATAATAATAATAATAATAATAATTTATTATTATTTTAATTATATATATAATTATTGATTATTTTATTATTGATATTGATATTATTTGTTAAATATCTAAAAATGATAAATGTATATTTCACATATATTGTTCATTAATATACACTTGAATAAATCTGAGGTACTGAGTTACAGGTTCTTTAAGAAACACTTTTACAAATGGTCAGAAGCGATCCTTCATGGAGAAAATAAATGACAAGATGGTTGACTGATTGGTTGATTGGCTGTGAACCTAAAATCAATCTCGAATATTTTAATCCATGTTACGGACCTACTGGGATTAAAGTCTTGATGTGTTTAGATGGCCGCAAGGAAGATGAGAGGAATCATGGCCGTGGAGACATCTGTTAACTCCGAAACATAGTAAACACATTATATTTATGACTGAATACAAATATCGACTCATTTAGCATTGTAAGGAGGAGATGATTGGCGGATGAGATCTCGATTTCTATAGGAAATGTTGGTCGACTACTTTTAAGTCAAACCCTTGTAGGTTTAGCGCTTCTTTTTATTATGATGATAATAATAATGCTTTAAAGTTAGGGATCGGTAAGTAAGGTTACCAGGAAACATTTGTTTTTCTTTCTGATCTTGCCCTCTGATGAAGAATATAAAAACCAATAATCATAGTTGGATGATAGTGTGTAACTGGTAGTATTTAAGTGAGTTTTTTTTTTTTCTTACACGGAGTTTGATAAGGTTAGGGTAAGGATTCGGGTAGGGTAAGCTAAGAGCTGTTACCTACATCAGCTCATTTGAAAGCCTTTTTATTATGAGACATACAAATAGGGAACAGGACGAGTTGGAGCAATCTGTGGGTCAGCATTTTCATTTAATCAACTGTCTTTATCTCATTGATATGATTATGGTGTACAGACTCGAGTCATCATGGGAATAAATGATCTCAGATGAAGTGATGTTCTGGAGGAGGGTACAGTGAGAATGAAGTTGCTGTTTGCTGCCCGTCTTGTTGTGTAGAAGCTCACTTCTCGCTGTTCTCGGAGTGGAGCCAAGTGTGATACTTTCACGATATTGGCCTTGTAAATGACAGTGAGGCCTGTCACATCCCTCCGGGGTTGAAGACTCTGCTGAAATGTCAGATTTATCCAGGCTGGGTGCAGGCAAGAGAACAGTTGTCTTGCTCTGTTCTCAACTCTGTCCAGTAATCACAGATGAGAAGGTGGGCAGGCAACCCATGAAAGAGGAGCATGCTCAAGGAGTGAGCGTACCTGTGCCTCGTACACAATCTCGCAACCTCTACTGTCGAGCAGATGCGCGATACGTCGAACTGCTGTAAGCTTCCTGGCCGCCTCGTTTGCAAGATTTACAACGTGGTTCTTCATGGCCAATTTGGAGTAAAATTTCACTCCAAGGATATCAACTTCGTTCCCGGGTACCAACACTCTCCCATTCATATTTACTACTGCTCCGGCACTACCATCTTGGTGCTTAGAGATCAAAATCATTTGTGTTTTCTCAGGAGCAAATGTTACATCCCATTCGGTTTCTTCAGGCTGATATAGCTCTTAGAGCAGCTCGCTTTTCCTCTTTTGGATAAGTAAATGTCAGAGTACAATTGTCTGCATATGCATGGGATTCTGGGATGAGATGAAGGTCATTGAAGTAGGCATTTTATTACAACGACCCAGTAGGATGTCTTGATGACTGTGTCCCGTTGAGAAATACACTGAGAGATCTACCCTGAAGGTGATCACTGAAGAGACATACTGTAGAGAGAGCAATTCCCAGTGCTTGCAGTTTTACCAAGAGGCCCTGGTACCATACTCCGTCCAAAGCACCAGCAATGTCCAATGCTACCACACAGCTGACTTTGGAGACATCCAGTTACTGGTGCCACTTAGTGGATAGGCTTAACAGCAGATCAGCAGCAGAGTAACCTTTCCTGAAGCCAGATTGACGGTAACAAAGTAGTGAGTGATAATCAAAAAAACTCTAACATTTGTCGTGAGATTATTGCCTCAAGGATCTTGTCAGTGATTGCTAGAAGTGACACTAGTATGTAGTTGCTGATTTCTGTCTACTCTTCTTTTTGTAAACAGGGACAACATTTGTCTCTTTCCACAGAGAAGGCCATTTTCACTGTACTAGGCAGTGCTGAAAGATGCGAGTTAGAGGTGCTGCTAGCTGGTCTGCACATCTACTCAGCAATCTTGGGTTCAACTTGTTTGGGCCCACAGCCTTTTCTTGGTCTAGCGATTTAAGGAGACGATGCACCCTCCTCCTCCTGCCTTACTCTCACCACTGACAACTTTGACACAGTTCTTACAACTAGGCCAAGAAGGATTCCTTGCTGGATCAGGAACTAGCATTTTGCAGCAATGTGTTCCGGCAAAAAGGTCAGTTTTCTCCTGACTACTAGCAGAGGTGGTCCCATCCTGTCGATTTAGAGGTGGAATAAGTTCATCAGATAGATAACCTTGTTTGTCCTTGACCAGGGACCACCAGGTTTTGGAGCCTACTCTACCTGATGCTAGCTTTCGTTTTGTGTCCACCTCCCATTTAGAGATGCCCCACTTTTGAACTTCACCCATATAACTACAGGCTTACCTGTGCAAGTTCCTGCTATAGGTAGTGGATGCCTCTTATACCTTCGCCAAACCTTGTACTCTTAGCAGTAGTAGCATCTCTACAACGGAAGCCGAACCAAGGCTGATCTGTAGGCTTCGTCACATACTGCCGGTGAGGGATGTGTTCTTGTTGTAGATTAAAGATGTGTTCAGTGAAAGCATTCACTTGGTTGTCAACATCACCTTAGAGAAGAGCATTTCAATCAGAGGTGGCAAGCTCAGAGCAAAGAGCTGGCCAGTTTCCTCTTTCCCACAGCCAGGTTGTACGTGTAGATTCCTCACCTCGTTCTGCTGGGATCTTCAGTGTCGTAAAAACAGCCTTGTGGTCAGACGATCCAACATAAATGAGGGGTTGACAAGTGACTATAGCTTCTGGCAGATCACTCACTACTGGGTCGAGGGAGGAGCCAGAGAAGTGAGTAGGGAAATCAATAAAGTTTCTCATGTCGAACACTGCAAGAGGGTTATCAAAGTCCCTCTGTATAAGATGTTGGTGAGGGCACCAACGATTATAATATATTGACATTTGTGTTGAAGCAGACTGGAGTCCACATTTTTCCATTAGAAAGTTAATGGAGTCTGCATGTTGCCACAGTGGTCTGTACATCGTAAATGCGAGTACAGAGGTGCTAGTGTTTATGCATACCTTGAACAACATCATTTCAGAATAGGATGGCCATCAATGTGAATGCATGTACACATTTAGAGAAGCATACAGTTTACAAAAACCGATTTAAGCTTAGAGATCTCCAGTGAATACTAGTAGAGACTGCCCTTCTAGCATCCCAACCTGTTACTGGGTTTCGTACAGTAGTCAGTACCATTGTCATATCCATTAGAATCCTTAAATTCAATGTGCTTAGGATTACAATGTAGGCTACTAACTAGAGAAATTAAAATTTAATAAATTTATATCTCGAGTTCAATTATTGTGCTGAAAGCACATATCACTTTATAATTCTTAAGTACCATTGGACATTAACATTTAATAGATATTACAATATGTACAAGGGTAGTATGTGTGTAAGTGCTCTAAGTATTCGCTATACGTTTCCACAGACCATTAGATAAACAAGTGACTGACAAGTCCTCAAATAAAATACTTCTGACGACTGCAACCAGATCGTCTGCTTAACAATGAAAAGAATGCTAAGCCCAATAGCCATATAACAGACTTGACACAATCAGATCAAGGGGATAATAAAGACACTAAGTAGGACTTCAGCAGATCTCCACAAAAGTTACAAAACTCCTACTTACTGAATCTAAGTTCAGCCATAGGAAAACCCTGACTGTGACAATACACAAAACCTACAAATTAGTCTAAGCATAGTCAGACCGAATGCCAAGAGTGTCTATGTGACACACAACTCAGTACAACGTCGAAAATCACGAAGTTATACAATGTTCTGTGACAGGTTCACAGAACTAACAAGATATAATGAGACAGACATTCTGTGCAACCACCAAGCGAGTCTAGAGCAGTCTGACATTACTTCACGAGAGGTGAGGACCCCCCTCGATCACGTGATAAGCCCCGTGGACAGCACTGCTCAGAATGCCGCAGTATAACGAGCGTACAAGCGATAATATACAGTAGTTTGCAAACAGACTTGACTGAGCACATATTATGTACATAACAACATAATCAAAAGAAATAAAGCAATATTTTACGATTTAGGTTATCGGCAAATAAGCAAATAAAATATATGGACAAGATAATAACATTTATAAAAGAAAAGTACCATTCATCACATAAGCAACATACAGCAGCACACAGCAGTAGGTAAAATGAAAGGGGGTAAGGCAGCCGGGATTGATGGGATAAAGATAGAAATGTTAAAAGCAGGTGGGGATATAGTTTTGGAGTGGTTGGTGCAATTATTTAATAAATGTATGGAGGA